AATACTGCTTCTTCAGAGAGTCTCCAATTACAGAAACGCGCTCTCAATACTTTAGGATTAGAGCTTTAATACTGCTTCTTCAGAGAGTCTCCAATAACAGAAACACGCTCTCAATACTTTAGGATTAGAGCTTTAATGCGGCTTTAATACAGTGAAGTTGCATGGATGGAAGGCATGTGCAAATAAACAATGACAGTTGAATAAATAATGACAGTAAAGATCAGGGACTTAAGGCTAGAAAAGTCCCAAGAGGTTATGTCCAATACAGGAACCTCTTCTAGCATCCTGGATAAATGATTCTCTTGAATTCTACTACACAAAATAGCCCACATCACTGCTGAAACTCTACTCGAAAGATTTTCTATACTAAGAAAATCAGCCAGCTGTAACTGAAACAAATTGTTTCTAATTCTGGTTCTAAACTTAATTTACCAAGAACCCATTTAAGAAAGAAAGACAAATTATTTCTCTTCTTCTTCAAATGTAAGAATTATAATGTTGTTGTTATTAAGTTAGTTCCAAGTCATAGCAACCCTGTACAGGGTTTCTGAGGAGCTGGTGGGTTTGAACCACTGACCTTGCGATTTATAGTCCAGTGCTTAACCTACAGCGCCACACCAGGACTCCAAGAATTATAAAGGCCTTGCCTAAATCCTGTATTCTTCAGATTAACCAACTTTAGATATCTCAACTGCTCTAGAACACATCCTATCCAAACCCCCAGAATTAACATTTCTGGAATGTCTCCTCTTTGGTTGACTGCTTTGAGCACACTGCTGTGCAATGCTCCTTTGCTTCCTCATTAGAATGATCTGTGATGTTAGAATTCCATCCTTGAGAATCACAGTCTATGTCCTAACCATATTTCTATTTTAAGATAACTAAACATGGGAATGCTCCTATTTCTTTTTTTCTGAATTGGAAAAAAAATCCATTGGCCTAGTAAGTCCTGTTTTCCTTTTTGTCATTATATGCTTAAAAGTGATGTGTGTTCACCTTATGCCAATATTTTGGTCACGTTTATGTCAACAGTTAATCAATCATTCCTGGTTAAAATTAAATGTAGAGTTGTTGTTGTTGTGTGCCGTGGATCAGTTCTGACTCATAGCGACCCTGTACAGGGTTTCCGAGGCTGTAAACCTTTACAGGAGCAGAAAGCCTCATCTTTCTCCCACAGAACAGCCGGTAGTTTCGAACTGCTGACCTTGAAGTTAACAGCCCAATTTGTAACCACTACACTACCAGAGCTGCTAAATGGCCGTTCTCAAATCGATTTTATTTATTATCAGGGAATCAAAGTTGTCAAAAAACGACATTTTATCAGATACCAGGACCACTGAAGACTGTTATCACTAAACTCTAATCTTTCTCCTAACAGTTTTCTTATCTTCTGAAGAAAGAGCACCCTTGTCCTTGGATTTGGCAAAGTAGTCCGATCATAACACTCAATTCACTATAACGCAGAACTTGCTTTCTTTTTCATTTTATAATCACAAGCTTCTGCACTGTTGTTGCCAACTAAATCTAATAGTCCCCCTTCTTCTAATAAGATTTCATTTCTTTGAACAAAACCAATCTTTAAATTCTTACATTACAAAGAGCCCATGGCAACAAGTCTGGCATGCTGCTATTGTTTTTCTGAGCCAACTCCTAGTGACCCTGTATAGGGATTCCTAGGAGCAGCTGGTGGGTTTGAACTGCCAAACCTGAGGTTAGCAGTCCAGTGCTTATCCTACAGTGCCATACCAGGACTCGGATACAGTATGTTAAAAATTCCCAGGTGTACTCTGCAACCCACACTTAAAACATTTTTATATGAGTCACTAAAAACACAAGTCTTTTTTCTAATTCTTTTGGTGATCTGAGGCAGCATGCTCACTGAGGTTGTTTCTAATGCACATCAACTGCTCCTCCATAATAACTAGTTCCAACAGTTCTTCTTTTATTTCTTTATACTTTCCTTGGAGATCAAATATGCTTCTATGGCTCCAGCTACCAATACCAATACAGTGAGGATTTCCAAATCTTTATTCATTTTAAGCTCTGACTTAAGTTCCAGACCCTATCCCTAGCGTAACATCCCAAAGGTACCTCTAACTCAACAGGTCCAAGAAAAAGATCATTGCCAGTCATGCTTCCCACCCCACCCAAAAAGCCAGCTGCTTCTCTCCTTCCATACGTGCATTATCATCATTACCACTGACCCAGCCAATAGAACTAAAATCTTTGGAGTTGTCTTGGGCAGATAAGGGACTTAGGAACATATTTACACACTAAGAATACAGAAAGAGAACTAAGAATGCCGTTTCAAAGGAAGACATCCAGGGAAAAGTCCCCAATTAGACAAAAAATAGAGTTGGCCTCTATTTCTTTAAGGTTGTTGTTGTTGTTAAGTGCCGTCGAGTCGATTCTGACCCATAGCGACCCTGTATAGGGTTTCCAAGGAGCGACTGGTGAGCTTGAACCACCGACCCTGCAGTTCAAATGACTTTGCAATCTGACACATTAGCCCACAGCACCACACCAGGACTCCATGGCATTAATATGCAATTATAAATATGCTCTCAAATGACAAAACCCACCCACTTGGCCTAGTTACACTACTTTATCCAAAAGGAATACAGTTTAAGAACAAATAAAGGGGAGAAATGTTGTCTCAACTTACCTGTACAATAGGAGCACCGATTCCTCCATTGAGCCAAACCCAGTGAAGAGTAGGGATCACTCCATATCCCGAAACAGAACAAAATATGATGGAGCGGAGTCTCTGCCATTGCTGTGTAAGGTAATTGGGGTGAATCTGAGCAAAGAACACTGCCAGGATCATAGCAAGCACGGTAATCAAGTACACTTGACGCCAATACTAAAATGAAAGGAAACAGATTTTACCTGGTGTTTAAAAAAGGAAGGAAAAAAGTAATTTTGAGTTTTACATTATACATTCTAAACTAGCTATATGATTACCTGGCTTCTTTAAAAAATCCATGTGCCACACACATGTTAGGTTTCCTAGAATAACCAAATTCTAAACTGAGCTGATACAAGACAACATCTAGTGAAACCAAATCATTTTCTGAGTAGCTGTTACAGCCTAGGCAGAGAAAAAGTGCAAAAACAAAGATGACTATGACATGGCAGATGAGCTCATAGGCTGTGGGATCTAATGCTAGGAATGGTAGCTTGAGTTACGAAGGTTGTAGAAACACTTAAGATGCCAATTAACTTTACCCAGGCTAACCAAATGCTTAACAAAGGAAGAGATATCTAACCTGGGCAATGAAGATCATGTAAGAGATTGTGGGAATAGGAAACTCTCAAGGAAAGGGAACAGCACAGTAAACTGGGAAGCTTTCAAAAAGAGGTAGAAGGGCAGACCAACTGGCAGGCTATGGATGTGAAACTTCACTTTGTTGTTGTTGTTACGTGCTATCGAGTTAGTACCGACCCATAGTGACCTTATGCACAGCAGAACGAAACACTGCCCAATCTTGAGCCAACCTCACTACTGTTGCCATGCTTGAGTCCATCAATGTCGCTACTTGGCCAATCTATCTCGTTGGGGGTCTTCCTCTTTTTCTCTGACCCTCCACCTTACCAAATATGATATCCTTCTCCAGCAACTGGTCCCTCCTGACAATATGTCTGAAGTATGAGAAACTAAGTTTGGCCATCCTGGCCTCCAAGGAGCACTCTGGCTGCACTTCTTGCAACACAGATCTATTGATTCTTTTGGCAGCCCATGGTGCTTTCAATATTCTCCTCCAACACCATAACTCAAATGAATCAATTCTTCTATGATCTTCCTTATTTATTGCCCAGTTTTCAAATGCATATGAGGTTACTGAATATACCATGGCTTGGGTCAGACGCACCTTAGTCTTCAAGCTGATAACTTTACTCTTCAAGACTTTAAAAAAGGTCTTGTGCAGCAGATTTGCCTAATGCATACGTCCTTTGATTTCTTGACTGCTGCTTCCATGAGTGTTGATAGTTGATCCAGGAAGAATGAAGTCCTTGACACCTTCAATCTTATCTCCATTGATAACAATGTTGTTTATTGGTCCAGTGGTGAGGATTTTTGTTTTCTTTACATTGAGATGCAATCCATACCAAAGACTGTGCTCTTTGATCTTCATCAGTAAATGTTTTAAGTCCTCTTCACTTTCAGCAAGCAAGGTTGTATCATCTGCATATCGCAG